GTCCCTTCACAAGGCCAGTCACAAGTCCAGTCACAAGTCCAGTCACAAGTCCAGTCACAAGTCCCTTCACCAGTCCAGTCACAAGTCCCTTCACCAGTCCAGTCACAAGTCCAGTCACAAGTCCAGTCACAAGTCCCTTCACAAGTCCCTTTACAAGGCCAGTCAAGAGTAACGGTGACAAAAGAATGCCTTTGTCACAGTTTATTTGAATAGCTTGTGAATTCGCTAAAGATAGAAAGACTTGTGAGGGATTTACAGGGACTTGTGATGCGCTCGAAGACAACATTGATTTGAACTAGGCTTTACTTAACACAAATATCGCATTATGTTCTGAAACTTAATACTTCTTGAGAAAGAAACTTCAGGATAACTTACAGTGAGATAAGGCATAAGTTTTAAAGTTTTGGAGGAGCCATGGACTTGTCGCTGGCTTGGCAGCCACTGCTTAACATTTTAACCTTTTTTTATTTTGGAAACTCTCTAAAGGAATCAAACCACCCCTGTGGTGCACTCACTTCCACACAGGTCGCCAAAGACATAGTAGCACTGCTCAGAGAAGGTGATCTTGTTGACGGTGTGCCGGATGTAACCCGCCTTGAGGAGGTTGCAGGCGTACTTCCTGGCGTCTCGCCGATCGGAGAAGCCTTCCAAACGACTGTACAGCCATTCCACAACATCAGAACCTGCCAAAGGATGGGAGGATGAATTTTGGTTTGTCAGACTTGGGAGTAATGGTGTTCGAGTAGTGGCGGTATCCGCCTTGAGCAGAAGCACCCCCTCATTGGTTGAACAGAGCAAGGTTGGTTGGGGTTGTTCATTTTGCTGGTGGCGAGGCGACTGTGACGCATGCATGACGCATGCATTTCATATTCGTTCGTGAACAAGCAATGTGCAGTTCCAACCACAGGAGTCTGTTGTTGGGAAAATTGCGCCCCCTCTTGGTCCAGCGTGGGGGCTCATTATCTGGACCAAATACAGACAGGCTGGCTTTGTACCAATGTTTCCATCTGGTCCATCACAAGTCTTCATAGATCTTCTGCTGCACAGTCGCATTGCGTCCTTTCAAATAAACTGTGACAAATGCTTTTCTTAGTTATTTAGGATTTCGTCTTTTGCTTACAGCAGGAATGATGAACTGATCTGTGGTTTACCTGAGACCAGACCTGTAGTGGACTTGAACCTAACACCGGTTTTCAACCGAGATAAACGTTTGGATAGGTTGACAGTTGCAATTAACGTGACTGCCCAACTTCCTACCTGTGCAGTGCCGTGGCTGACAATAATGATGAAGAGCCAATTTGACTCTTTGAGTTGATAGAATCGTGCAACTTTTGAAAGGCCACATGCAATGCGTCATGCATTGCATGTGGCCTTTCAAAAGTTGCAATACGTCCGTTTATATTAGTACATGTAAATTTGATGGCTCGAGGCTGAAGCCACTAGTTAAGAAAGGTTGTATTCGACACGGGCATCGCCGTCAAGGGCTACAGCTTTTCAGTTTCAGTCATACAATGCTCAAGCCAGACGCAGCTGAAGCCTCATGGTAGTTCATTAGCACCTAAACCGTGGGGGGCCTGGAGCCCAGGGCTCTTGTCTCGTCTCACCTAGGAAAGCGTTTGGAATGGTGATTTTGAGCCACATGCGGTCTCGGATGTCCAGCCCCGAGTCCGGCGCCGCCATGGCTCGCACGATTGTGATGAGGTCCGAGTTGATGGTGAGCGGGCCGAAGTCCTCGAATCCTGCTAGGGCGAGAAGCCAAGAGGAGAGAGGAATTAGACAAATTTTGTGCTAAGCCCGAGTCATCATAGATATCGTCACGCGGTGGTCCTCAAGATACAACCTGTTACTCGGCGGCCTGATTTCTCTTGGCTAATACCCTGTTTGCTCAGCATCCAACGCATTTGTCTCACAGGAACAGAAACGTGATCCCAACAAGCATTCACTATGAACTGTTCCAAAGGTTTTGACTTTTTTGGAGACGTCAACTTGAAAACTTTGTGGTCACCAAGGCAAACTTAAAATCATCGACTCACTTTCGGACTCTGGGATTGAGCTGGTTAGTGAAGAGCTGCCGGAGGTCATGGAGGTCATGGAGGGACTGACTGGTCCCGCTTGACCGTGGTACGCGGCCACTTTCATGGCGTTGGTGTGGGCCACCCATGCCCCGGGATCAATTGGCCGCACGGGCTCACCTAAAGAAGAAAAAGAGGACAATAATTCTGATTGAGTCTCGGGGTTTTTCTTGGCAATATGAAATTTCCTTTTTTTAGAAGTTGAAAGTTTGGATTCCAGTTGCCTTATTCGGTGACAAGAATGAGCGGCCATGACCGCAGGGTCACACAGGTGAGGGAGTGCGGGCACTACAAGCACCCCTATTGAAAAAACTGCCCCAAAGTTGAAGTCCACGCTCATCAGTCCAGAAGAGACAGGCTGGAGGGGAAGTCTTCCAAACTGGGCTTGTGCGTGCCCACGACCCATACGCAAAGACCACACCTTCACGTTGATACTGGTCGCGCATGCTCGGTGCGTCTCGCGTCAACGCAGTGAGTTCCCACCGGAGGACCATCACTGTTGCGCCCTCTCTTGTTCCCAAACAGAGCAGATAGGGCATTGTGAGTTGCCACAAGCTCCAGAGAGCACAAGTGATTATGGTGGCACCGCAATAATGATAATCTCGCGGGATTAGTCCAGTCATCAGCGATTAACTGATATACTGATCAGTTCACATGATGGTAATTGATTGATCGGTTTCCGGTACTTTTCACCACCGGGTTAAAATTACTTCAGCTTTTGTTTCTGGTAAAATAAAAAAGCTTACTTACTCCTTGGGATGGTGAAGTAGCCCTTGGGTGAAGGATCCCAGCATTTGGCTACTACTAGTTTGATTGGCCTGTATTGTTAAAAAAAAAAAGGAGAGAATGAAACACTATGATCAATGCCCTCCTTTCATCTCAACCTCACCGATCATGGTGCTTTGCGCTTTATGGCTCCAGATTAGCACCCACTGAACAAAGATATTGACAAATGGGTAGAACCACCAACACCAGGGCTGTGTTATAAGACTGCCAGTATGGTGGTCCAGAGGGCACAGGTTAAAATCCCACCCCGGACAATTGTTTTTTTAATCTTCTATAAAAGAATAATCTTCTTTGACACTTTCCGTTCACAAAAGATGATCGGCAATTAACAGCTATCAACAGCTAATGAAGCCGGAACAGTTCACTGGTTCCCTGCCTGCCTGTGACACAGTTCACTGGTTCCCTGCCTGCCCATGACACAGTTCTACTGCTCTTACCCTGGCTGGTGCACGGCGTCCCTCAGTACCCTGACAGCATCGTCGTTGCTCATGTTCTCAAAGCTGACCTCGTTGACCTGGAGAATCATGTCGCCCGGTTCGATTCGGCCATCTGCCGCAACCGCACCTCTGAAGGGGGAGGAAGACAATACATTTCGATACGTTTGCATCGCGGTCCAGGGGTCAAAGGTCATACTCATGCAAATGCAATTTTTTTCCCCGGACATGGATTCAAACCAGCCATGGCATAAAGAAATGATGGAGTCATTGAACGAAAAGCATATTAATCGTTTATTTCATCAGGGTAAAGCCCAATAATCTATTCTCCCCGGGGGCCCTGGCAGAGAAGACAATGAAGAAATGATCAGTTTTAGGAGTGTGAGAAACAAGACAGCTATTCCAGGGGAACCCATGGAATTGAGTAGGGACTGAAACCCAAATCCACATACCGGCAAAGGAAAGATTTGAACCTGGTCAGGGTGGTAGGAGGCAAGGAAAAATACCACTGTGCCAACCTGAGAACAAACTTCTTCCCAAAAGGAACAGCGCTCTTTCACATCAGTCAGTGTGTAATCAGAGTCAGTTATCCAGCCAAATGGATATTCAGCCCCCAGCCCGACAAGGGTAACTTAGAAACCTCGTTTCTGTAACCTTTATATGTAGTAGCAATGATGCTCACCCTTTCATGATTGAGCCCACGTAGATTCCGCCGTCTCCGCCTTTGTTGCTCTGACCGACAATGCTTATACCCAAGAAGTTAATTTTGTCTGCATTTGTAAAAAAAGGAACAAAATCAACGTTAGGCGTCACTGTGGTGGAACTAAGGGTACAAAACTATCACTTGTAATCAAAATGAAGCACGGTACAGCTGTTGCAATACGCAGGGCTTTGACAAAAGTCAGGCACCATGCCATGTGAAGGTAACGCAACGAGACTTACCCAAATTTAAGGTTACTGTGATAATGTTGAGCGACATCGTAGAGTCTGTTATACTGCTAAAAGAAGAGGCCTGTGAAAGAAATGAAAGTTGCGTGATTGCCATGTTTTTTGTCGGAGCACAAAACCAAGAGCTGTCTTCCACATGGCCTTATCCCAATGCCTGACAGGTTCAGGCATACAAGTCAAAGAACCACATTGTACGTGTAGCAAGGCATATGAAGATCTGAGTTTTTATTTTGGAATAGAAATCAAGAGATCACCAAGAAGTATTGGTTCCTATCAACACAACATAATCAATTAAAACCGACTTTAATAAAATAATTTTCCACTGTGTGCTGTAAAAAAAAAAGAAGAGAGCCTTATTCATGATTGAGCTGAAGAGACAAAAAAAATCCCACTTACACGCTGGACTTGAGGCATGCGCGGTCTCCGCCGTCGTTTCCTGTGTTTACTGCGCATTAATCGCGAGGAGCTGCTGCGCTCTGTTGCACTACTAAATCTGCAAGGAGAAAGAAAAAAATTAAAAAAAAAACAATCCAAATAAAATAAAACATGTGTGGTCATTTTTTATTCTGCCAGTGACCACAGGCTTCAAACATGATCACTGTAATACAGTGCCAAGAGAAAATTGTTTTTTAATTGTTTTTTGTTTGTTTTGGTGCGGGGTGTTGAACAGAGACTTCAACAAAATCTTTGTCCAAGGACGATGTCTCATTGACTCATCCTTGGACAAAGATTTCTCTACTTGGTTGTCTATTTCACACATGTTGAATTCAGACTCTAATTTTTCCATGGACTCCCTAGGTACCAATGCTGCTAGATCGAATCGCTCTACAAGTACAAAGTATTCCACTGAGCTGAACTTCACCTTCCGCATGAATTACCGACAGATCTTCTGCCTGGAGGAAAGAAGTAATTCTTTTCGACTTCCCAACGGCGATTTCAGCTTGCGCGTTCCGTTTGTGCTTTTCTTTACTCGTGTGAATCTTCACCTCATTTACTCCTCTGGCAGAGATCCACAAATCACACCTGCAAATCTTGCAGAATGCGAAAAACTCACCCTTACGTGATGTCGTTATGAATTGGAACTGCACTTTGTATTCGCCCCTAAATCTTTGCAAGCGTTTTGGCTTCTGATCCGTCTCCATATGGTTGTACAAACTTGTTAATTCCCCGCAACAATTCTATAGCTAACATCACCTGACATGCCTCATCACGACTACATGCGCACGACGGAATTCGGAAGTCACATGTAAGATGCGAGTGATGCGCTGTCGCCACACAAAATGGCGACCGATGAAAAAAAAAGCCAATGGTGCTCTCTTTTTTTCCTGTACATTAGCGCCCTCTTTTGCCACGACTCTTCATGTTTTAATTATTGTTTTTTCAATTTCGTTGGAAATCGGAATGTTCCGAGTTTTTGCAGTCTGTAAACTTACAAATAGGGATGATTCTGATTCAATGGGAACGGTCGGCAGGTATGATGCCATGTACTGGTACACGTTCTAATGATACAACACTGTTTCCAAAAAAAAAAAAAAAAAGGAATAAATCGAGCTAACCCTCTGAGTATTTAACCCACAAAGTCCTGTTTACTCACTTTTCTGCACAACCACAAAATTTGTCAACACAAAACAAATTCATGAAAACTAATGGAGGTTAACCTCTCACAGAACTTCTTGAAACATTTTTGTCCCCCTTGACAAAGGACATTCACAAATCAGGTCAGTCTCTTTCTGAGTGACCCCATTCCATTGAGATCAAGCCCCAGAAATGTCTTTCCCCCCCCCAAGCTTTACGTTCCCAACTTGTCCTTTTTACATCTACCCCCCCCCACCAAAAGAAAAAAATCCTGAAAATTCCCCAACAGATGCAATTTGGACAAGGACATCCTATCGCTGACTTTCCTCCTGGCCTTATTTTGGTTAGGATTCTGTTGAAAAAACACACCGGCTTGAAAGCTTGGGCTTGTTTTGCATTTCCCAAACGGCTTTCTAATGTCAGGGCTAACCAAACAACGTAGAACATCACACCCCATAGAGCCAGGAGCACTGGAGTGCATTATACCACACGGGCCACTAGCAACAAAATCTTTGTTCGAGTTGAATTGAAATCGAGTTGAATGAGACAGATTTTTCCCCCTCACTTTCGCAACGATTTGAAATGGAAAGGAAGCAAAGACAGAACTTTTCATTTTAATCCCCCGTTCAAAATTGTCCAATCTTAAAAATCAGGGGTGTGAGTGGCCACTTAAAAGTAAAGCTGAAAACAGCTAGCAAAATGCTAAAACGTAAGAAGTCCCCATATGTTTGTACACAGCAGGTGCACAAAAGGGCTGAAATTGAAGGTCAACATGTAGACAAAAAAGCAGAATTTTCACACCCCTGGAAAAATGTCATATTTGATGATAAGCGGCATATTATACATGATTACATAAAAAATTTCGATATGAATTCATCTGCGTGCCAAGTACTTGCATCTGTTTCAGGTTTTTTTTGGTTTTTTTGACACACCCCAGCCAGGGTTTCACATTTCCACAACAGCCTGTTTTATTTTCACAGCCAATCTCTGCCTGTCACAAACTACCCACAACCAGGCCATTCTAAACCAGGCCATCTCCAGCTAGTATCACTATCCCCCCCCGCCTGGTTTTGGTTTTTTTGGATGCCAGCCTCCTGTCCCAGCGACCTGACCTCTCTCTGTGTATTTTCACAGCCCCTCAATTTGATATTTTTTACCGGCTTAAACAAAAGGGCCCCACCTGTGTTGTAAACCGCACCATCAAATTGATTTTTAATTTGTCGGGCACTTTGGGCATGTGCACTTTGGGCATGTGCACTTTGGGCATGTTTTTAAAAGAATGCTTTCAAGTATTAGCCAGCTTAACACCTTGATTCAATAGTTAAGCACTCAGCTTTTAAACTCAATTCTACATAGCAGCAACAATAATCTTTCACACAAATCTCAAATATATTTTCTTCAAGCTGCCTTTTGAGATCATTTATGAAAAGTGCAACGTCCACAGCTTGTCAGATTTCAGAACATGTAAAATGACTGAGAAGCCCAAATATCTTGAAAAACTTTGAAAGTTTGACACAACCAGTGAATCCTCACCTGCTGTCATCGTCCGTGGAATCGAAGTAACTGGTGGACTCTATGTCGCTGCTCATTAACGTTGACGAGCTTTCGTATCCATGACCGCTTCGGTGGTGGTCCCTCTTTGGACGAGAAACTGCAGCAGGGAAATTAAAGATAAACATACCCCCCCAATCAATTACGACTGCAAACTCAGAATGCTAGCGTCACTGTTGCACAGACAGCTCTGCGAAGAGAGAACTTAGTTTCAGCAGCAGACTTTGAGGGCAGAACAATCAAAGGGCTGAGACTTTTCGGCATTCAAACATGGCCGAAACATGACCCAGGTCACCCTGGGGACAGGGTGACCTGAAGTGCATGTGTAACTTCAAAACTTTTCGTGACTATGTCATACAAGGTTCTGTACCAAGTGCAGAGATTTGACAGAGGCGGGATATGAATGCGCGACCCGAGGAGCAAGGGTGACCTACACAAAATGTTCCTCAGTCAACCTGCACGCAAAGGAAAAAGAAAATAAGTAGAAGACCAGTCGCTGTGTGGCATTTCGACTGGTGAGGCATTTGTGCTTAGCAAAATTTTTTCAGGGTTAGGCAAATTTCTACCCTAAGCTACCCACAAAATTTGCTCTGTCAAGCGGAGATTGGAAGTTGAAGAGAAATCCCCCAAACATCTAGCGAGGGAATGTCATTACGAGAAAAAATTAAGCAGACTTTTTTTACTTTTAACAGGTACCGGCAACAAGATACCGGTACATGTACAAAAGTCTCTCTCACACATGACTCCGATTATGTGCATCTTACACTTGGGGTTATGAACGAAGTACAACAAAGTAGCAAAATGCAGTTGATTAAACCTTTAGAAGTCAATAAAAGGGGGGGGGGTTGAAAATCCACAAATCAGGAAAATTCCTGAGGAATTACATGTACACCCCTGGCTATTACCCACAGTGCTGTCAACCTCAGTGGTTGGCACCCACCCAGGAATCAAATTTTGATGTCATTTGTTCGGGGTCAGTGGGAACATTAAACAATTTGCTTTCAATGAGGCCCTAATAGTCTCTGTCAAACATGAAACAGAACTGTCAGACTTTCTGACTTTCCCTTGCATCAAAGGGTAGGGTGGCCCGCTCTGAGGGTCCCCCCCCCCATCACGGAGTGACCAGCTTGCGGGGAGTGGCGAGTGATGTGCCGGGGAGAAAAAGATGACGGGTCTGATTATTTGCAGAGCTAAATCCTGCGTGACGATGGGAGCATGGTCAGGCTGGGTGGGAATGTACATGTAATCTACCGAAGTCCTGGAGGATTTCGGGAGGGATTTACTGAGAGGGGATGAGTGGCTGGTGGTTTGCCGTTGGGCTGGTCAAATGAAAGGAAAGACATGGTGTTTGGCACAAATATTTTGGACAGGAAAATCCAAGAGGAAAGGAATGGAACTCGACTATTCAAATACGTTTTTGGATGCTTTGGTCAATCAATTTTTTTTTTTCTGCATATTCCGAAAAGCATACAATCTAAGGGCAAGGATTGGAGAAATGAAGACCGGGCACAAACAAAATATGAACATATGGATGACAGTTAGTAGAAATAGGCATATGGTCAAATGATAAATGAGATTTGGACAAGTCTCCTTATATTTGTACCTCGCCAACTGCATATCTGAAGGATTTAAATAGTTTTACAGACTTTTACGAATAAACATTTTGTTATTCAAAAGCAAACGCCTACATCAATGGAGTTTCTAGCATGAGTGATGTTACACTCAGATTACATACTTCGGCAGCAGTTTGCGTGTATGTGCAGTTCCACGGCCGACTTCTGGTAACTGAGATCGGCCACCTGCGGGTGGCATCGGGTGGAGCGGGCAAACAGGATGGGCGGCAGACAAAAGCAACCCGGCGACTTCAGCTGCGAGTTGCCCATCGGTGTGCCCACCATTGGGACGTCGGCGGCGACCAGTCAACCGGTGGCATTCACAAGTGTAGCTTTGGAGATTGACAACCACTTGACAGTCTGTTTTGTTAGTAGGGATGAAGTTCAGAACCCTGGACTGTACACTGTCTTTCAACTGTGCAGCCAACCGAGCAAGGAACACTGATCCCAAAAATGCTTGAGGTACAGGTACATGTCGGTGCACTGACTGAATGGAGCCTGGACTTCATCAGACGACGAATCAACACTTATCACTTGGTATGAAACAGCAAAATGAAGCATCCGCTGGCTGTCAAACACGGCATTCCACATCAGGGTTAAGGGCAGCAGACTTCTTCAACCTTTGACACAGAGCAGATATCCAGAACCATGAGCAATTTCCTACGATGCTGAGGCTGTGTAAGAAGATCTCAGGGTCAGGATGACACGCTGTGTGCCTGCCTACCAGTCAAAATAACGGCTTCAATAATTCTCCCCCTTCTTCTGTCAAACATTCCGCTACTCGGCAACTTTCTTTGGAGTAAACTAGCTACGGTCAAGACAGCATCCTACCTTTGAGCAAACAGGCCGATCTAAAACTGAAGACAACAAGCATGCATTGTTTCTTTTTTTTTTTAGAAGAGCAGATTTCTGACAAATCCACCTGCTATTTTCTGTTACAGCGAAGCCCCACTAATTCCTCCGAGTGACGCTTGCTGCGAAAGAAACAAACACATTGGGGGAGCAGGTGTCCTGTTTTGTCTTCAACGGGGTTGCGTGTGCTTGCCCTGAGCAAACGCTCCCCGTTTGTATTCAGCTCACGGCCCAGATACTTCCTAAATCCCTCCAAGACAATGTTGATACATGCAGGAAACAAACCTCAACAGGTTTCGGGAGGGCAAAGCCGCTTGCATCAACTGAGTGTCTTAAATTTGGCCGGGACCGAGTGTGTGCTTACATAAGACCCCGGGGTCACACTTTGAGTCGAGAGAGTTGTTGCAAACCTTGTTGCCACAAAATCCCGTTGTTGGTTGAGCACTACACTGTACTTCAACACTTCAGCCAAGCTGCTAAGCACGCAATCGAGGCAGGGGGAAAAAAAAAAGTTACCATACCAGTGGGCGGACTGTCCCTCCCTGATACATCCAGCTATGCTAATGTTGACAGTAACCCAACGGTCAAGTTATGATTAGTCAGTGGGCCGGAAAGAAACACTGGTCTCCGGGGCGAGTGATGCTTGACAAGAAAACTGCCATTCCACCGGTGCTTGTAGCCGCCGAAAAAACTTCTTGCCCTGAATACAAGATTCAACACTGCACATGCTGAAGTACAGAAACTGGCTGGAAATTGATATCGTGGAATTTGACCTACTTGCAGTAACAGGAAAATGCAGATCTTTTCTAAGGAAGGATTCTGATTATGAAAACAGTCTCTCCGAAGTCCTCAAATATTGATGAGAACAGACCACAAAGTTACATTTTGCCACAGCCAACCCCCCCCGTAAAAAAAAAGAACAGTGGTGCCATGAACAGATGTGGGGTGAAAGGGAGTTGAGCGTGGGGGTCTTGGGGTGCCTGTGTCAATGTTGACTAAACCAGATGGCCAAGTTATGGTTTCTAATTCTAGCGGAATGGAACTGAGAAGGTGACACCCGACGATGACCGGAAAATTATTTGGCTTCTGACATAAAGCCAACAGTAATACCTACAGGTAGTGCTCATGACCCGGAAAAACTACAGACTAAGCAATCTGAGAGAAATCAAACTGTATCTAAAGATTTATGTCGAATTAGGAGAACAGATGGTTTTTAACGTTCGTTTATCTGCAGTTTCTTGGGTAGGTTTCATTGAAATGTTGCACTCTTTGTCACTTCTTTTGAAACAATACGTATACATGTACATTTGGCCCAATTTTCAGCAATGACATTTCAGAAAATATTGTTCAGTTATGTCTCCTGCTAACTTCATACAGTGTTTCTGTGCTTTCAGGACAATTAAATTCCACGACTTTTCCAAGGCCACATTATGAAAATCCATGACTCGATAAAGCAACTTCTTGGACCATCTGGACTTTTAAAGTCGTGAATAAAATCATGCACTTAATTTATGCGCTTATTTCTGATAATAGAAATCACAGTGTTTGAAAAATTCCATGACTTTTCCAGGCCTGGAAAAGAAAAACAAATTTACGCGACTTTTTCATGACTTTTCCAGGCAGCGAGAACCCTGCCCATATTACACAGAAACCACTCATAACAACATGCACAGCATTATTCAGTCGGTCTTAGCTGGTAATCGGAAAAAGTCAAATTCTTCTGTGATTACCCAATGCAGGCATTAGCACCTCCACCAAATTGGCTCCCTGGATCGACTGCAGCCCCAGACCCTGGTCCCTAAACAATACACGCAGGACAGATGTCCTAACCATTTGGCCCCCTGCCCTGGCCCCCTGCCCAGACCCCCACAAATGCACTCCCCAGTTGCTGGTAGGCCCATACTGCCATGATGTCCGACCCATTAGATTTCTCAGTGGGGCACTCCCTGATGTCCCACCCATTAGATATCTCAATGGGGCACCCCTTGATCCCCTACCTCCGCCTGACAAATGCAGCCCAGGAGGGATCCGGTCAGGTGTTGGCAATGCTCAAGACAATTTGTTTGAAAGGGAAATCCTGTAGACAGACTGGTGCAAAGGAAAACCAATCTTCTTGTGGTAAGGTTGGAGATGAAGGCAGTCTACCACTATGCATGTCAATCCATCCCTCTGATTACTGTATAGTAATCTTGATATCTCAACCGAGACAACAATCACAATGTCATCAAGAATTGTTCAGCCAATCTAAAACCATTACGCCCGAGTTTTCCTAACACTTCCAAGTTATTACCGGTCTGTCAGTCTCCAAACAATACCCATGATTTTTCAAGGATTTCCAGAGCACGCTCACCAGTCTTCTTTGTCAGCCTAAGATTCACTGTTTGAGGTTAATTTTACTGGGGACAAGGATGCCCGAGTCTTAAGTAAACTGGGAACAGACTGTGGCGATAAAATTTTGGAAAAACAAGTCATCTTGACCACTTCCTTTAGGGCAGTAAAAAGCATGCCCTTTTATAAATCTTATCTCAGTAGTCACCAGCATGTCTAATGCCTTTCTCAAGAGCTTCCACGGGTCCAAATCTAAATGTAACAAATCAGTGAGTGACTCTTGAGAAGAAAATGAAAAAAACACAAA